TGAGCCATGAGAAGAAGAGTTGAGATTGTGGTGACCAAGTGAAGTTTGGTTGCTTGTAGAAAGAAATTGAGTAGAATATTTGAAGTGTTTTTCTTGGCCATGTTTAGATTTATTGTGGAGGTGTTTTGTTCCATGAATGGATGGTTTAAGAAAGAAGTAGAGATTTACCAAAGATAGAATTAAAGTATGCATGCATGATGTTTGATGAAATGCGTAAGAGAAGCTTGTGTATAAGTAGTGAAACTTATTTTTGTGCAACATAGCATATTTGCATTGCATAATTGCACTTAAGAAAGAAACATAAGCATGAGCCATTCACATGCATATAATGCATATGCATAAGAACTTAAGGAAAGAATAAAGATTGTATGATAACAAAGAAAAAGGAAGAAAAGCACTAAAGAATTAAAGAAGAGAAAATAATAGGTTGTTGCGATGGGGAACCCGTGGGTGCTAAGAAGAAGTTCCTACATACACGTCGCCTTAAGTGAGCGGCATAAGAAGAAGAAGAATTTGTACAATCCGTAAGACTGTACATGGATGAGGGTTGTACCAAGAAGAATTCCTACATGCACGCCACCTTAATTGAGTGGCCTAAGAAAAAAGAAAGAATTTGTACAGTCCGCAAGAGTGCATGTAGATGAGGATTATACTCACTCACACGACTAGGGTTCCAAATCCATGCATCAACTGAGTTTGATCAGCAAAGAATAAGAAAGAATAAGGAAAGCTTGAGCCAACAAGAAAAGAAAGAAAAGAAAAAAAGGGCTTGAGCAAGCAAGAAAAGGACAAGACATAGAATAAGAAATAGAAAAAAAAAAAGAAAGAAATGCATTTTTTTTTATGCATTATTGCATGTGCATTCCATTCATGCATGTAAGAATAATAAGAATAGAAAGAATAGAAAGAAAGCATAGTAAGAATAGAAAGAATAGAAAGAAAGCATGAAAAGAATAGAAAGAAAGCATAGAGAGAAAGAAAGAATAGAAAGAATGAGAAAGAAAAAAAAGAACAGTGAGAACTAGAAACAGAGAAAGAAAAGAGAAAGAACTATGAAAGAATGAAGAAGAAAAGAATTAAGTAAGGAAAGAATCAAGAGAAAGTTGTGGGGATAGAAGAGAAGAGGATTTACTTACTGAGCATTTTTGCGCTCACCACGTTGTTTTTCCATGTTTTGCAGGAAATAGGTGAGAAGCGGTCGGATGGATGTCAAAAAGCGTAGAGAAATGGCATCATTGTCCACCGTTGCTAAAGTTTTTGTACATGTTACTTTGGTATATGCAAAGAATTATATTTTATAAATAACGAAAAATTTGGGCCCAACTACTTTTCATATGCTAAGTATGTATGTTTTCATTGTATATTTTCTAAAGTATACTAGTAGAAAGAAGTCATTATACGCATCTTGTTGTTGCCTGTTGTGAGGCAGGTTCAATCCCTTAAGTGGAATGGTATGGTTGGGGATTGGTTCCGAACATATGACGCGGTCATGCACTGCCGTTAGTGGTTCTCTATGGCAATTCTTGGGACATGCCAAGACTTCGTGGATGCCGTATGAGGTGGCCATGGCATCTGACCCCTTGAAATTTGTCTCTATAAGGCACCGTGTTGATTGTGCTCCCTTTCTACCTTTAGGATGTTTGTCGTGGAATCCAAGTGTTGTACCAATGTCTGGATTGTTTTGGCCAATGTCCCCAACACGTCCATCATTTGTGGATTTCCAACCCGTTCTCAAGCTTGGGAGGCTGGTTCTCTTTGGGTATGGGATGCATATGGTTTTCAACTATTTCCCCTGCCTGGTTCATAGGGGCTTTGTAACTGGCTCTGGTATTAAGCATATCGGTAGATATGTTACAGATTTAGGATATTGTTGTTAGTGGGGAGAGCTTTGGCGGAGTCCTTCCTTCTATCGTCAAAATGTTGATGCAGTTTTTTGCACCAATGAGATGTATGTAAGCCTTCGAAAAGTTTGCGCAAAAGGTTTACGATATACCGTGGAATAGCAAGTATGATGCTGAACCAATGGGTTCAATGAGGTTTATGTGTGGAAACTAAATGGAGTGCTAAATAGTAAATGCGTAAAAGTAAATAGAAAATAGACAAGAACGACTTTTAAAGTGGTTTAGAAGCAATAAACAATTCCTACGTCCACCATTATTTTATTAATGTGTTTACAAGAAGAACTTGGTTTTAAAGGCTAGTGCTGTAGTGCTCTTGTAGTAAAAAGATGTCGATATCCTTCGTCACCCTCTATTTATAGTGTTCTGGAGGTAATCTTGGATGCGAAGTAATTCAAATGAAACTGAGGATATGGCGCCGCATTGTTATCTTGGTAGATAAAGTAATCCTCATGCAAGCTGACACGTGGAAAGAGAACCAACTTGCATCCTTATTGGTGAAGCTTTCTCCATGCAAGTGGGCACTTGTCTTTGGGAAGGCGGCTTGTTTCTTTCCCTTTGAAGCTTCTTCTTCTAGATGGCAGCTAGGTGTTGTGATGATGGCTCACTTTGTTAGACATGTGTTGGGCTCTCATTCTGCATGTTTTTACCCTCCATCACAAGGTAAAAATAAACTCATTACGAAAAGAAAAAAATGGAGACAAAATGAAGCATGAAACCGTTATTCTCTGGGTAAATTCCCATCTTTAGTATGTGAAGTTAGAAAATTTCCATTGATGGAGGCAACGAAACAAACTAGAGGAAATTTAACTCCCCGAACATCCCAAGTTTGCATTTAACAAAATGACCCTGAAAATCTTTTTGATTTTTTTTTTTTTTTAATTTAGAAAAGCTGATGTGGCACACTTAGGATTCATTAAACATGTAAAATGGGTTAAACTAAAAAGATTTAAACATATGTGGGTAAAATCATAATTAATGAAAGTTGTTTAAATTTTGAAATTTGAAAATGAGCCCACACCCTTCAAAAATCGCTTAATCGAGCTATATACCCAAAAAAGACCGACGAACACTATTCCTTTCTCTGCGATTTCTAGTGACTATATTGCCTAAATTCTGGCCAATTTTCAATCCATTTTCAATCTTAAAGCTTCCTTACACAAAACCATGGCTGACATTCACAAAGAGGAGGAAAACCCAACCCCACTTCAAATCCTAGACTCTGGTGGCACCAGCAGTTCAAAGGCTGCCGAAGACGATGCTCCAGTGGATCATCTGATGATTGAAGGTGGTCCACAGGCAAAGGAGACAACGGCAGCACAAGAACAGAGAGAAGAATCAGAAAACGGTTCTGAAGAGGAAGACGTCGGTGAAGAAACAGTACGTTTTTTTACTTGTTTTTTTGAATTGGATGAGAAAATGGATTGATTCAAATTTAGGGGAGATGTGGTTGTGGCGTTTTGTCGAGCAGTTGGCAGGCATTGGTGGAGTGGCTTTGTTTGGGTTCCAGAGGAAGGGGGAAGGCAAGGGAGGCCATAGGGAGGCTGTTTCAGGGAGTTTGGTGGGCTGGGGATGGCAGGAGGTGGCCGAATTTGGCGGGCTACCCTGCATATTGGCAAGGCTGGCCACGCATAGCGCACGTAGCGCTACGTGCACTATGCGTGGCCAGCCTTGCCAATATGGGCTTGCATGATTGTTGGCTATGATTGTACTAAACAATCATGCAACCTCTACAGCCCTGCGCACGCTGTGTGAGGCCAGCCTCACCTATATGGGCTTGCATGATTGTTGGCTGTGATTGTACCGAACAATCATGCAAGCCCTCTTGTAAGGCTATAGGGGTTGCATGATTGTTTACAGGGCTGGCAATGATTATTGTGTTAGAAGTGTTAAATTGTAGGGTTGGCTATGATGCATTAGATTTTTCGTTGCTTTATTATATAACGGGCAAATTACTTTCTTTGTTATATTTTGATTGAATGTCAAAACATTAGATGATTGAAGGACAAATATTAAATCTCATTATACGATTAAGCAGCTTATTATTAGAAGAAGGTCACTACTTTTAGGTTGGCTCACCATCACCACTCAACTTTATACCATAATTTCTAAATCAAACAGAACCAATGAAACCACAAAAAACATTTATTTAATTTTGGACTCAGAAGAAAATAATTATTCTCCTTTTCCTATCATTTATACAAAGGGTTTAAGCTTTGGTTAGGTTTGGTGCAAAAAAAAAAAAAAAAAGATTAGAAAAAAATTTAAAAATTAAATTTTATTTAATAATATAAGGCTTAAAAACAGTTTCACAAGAGTTTGAATAACATCACTCAAAAGCTTTCTGAATTGTTTATGTGATGTTAGGCTTATTAGCCCATTACATTCTCTTGTAATCTTGTTGGAGGTAATATTAGTAAGTGAAAGACTAAGTTTGCATGCTTGCTTCTCAATTGATGCTTCGGTTGAGTTTTAGTTTAGTGATGTTTTAGATGTGTTTTGAGTTGTTAACTGTTGTGACGGCAGGATTAGTAATGAGCTGTGCAGTATGGTTTTTATGTTCATTTACATTGTATGATGCTCTTTTTTTTTTTTTTTTTTTTTTTTTTTTTTTTTTTTTTTTTTTTTTTTTTTTTGTCATACACTTGAAAAGATTAGTTGAAATACATTGTATGATACTTTTTCTTTGTTACAAGTATGTTGGCAGCCTATTAGTTGTTTTGATTTCTTTTTTTCTTGATATTTAGTTTATATCGATTATGAAGATTTTCCTAAGCGTAAACTATAAAGACTATGGTTGGAGGTTGTAAGCGATAAGGTACCGTACCTTCCTAGTAGGGTGGACAGTTAGATCAAGTTGGCAAGTTTTTATGAGAATAATGGATATTTTACGGGAATAGAAGAATGGTTTAGACCGATTCAAATGAGTTTTTGGTCATTTTATGAGATTGGAGAAAATTGGAAAAAGGTGTTCTAGGGGCAGGGAGTGCATTTATGTTGCTGCACTTCGTTAAAGGCAAAAAAAAAAAAAAAAAAAAAAATGAAATGTGGTTTTTGGTGGATGGAAAGCCACTACGTTTTGGGATAATGGAATATGCCTTGATGGCAGGCTTAAGATGTGGGAAATTACCAGAAGCGGCAGAGCTAGATGGAATAAAGAACAGTAGGGCAACCGAAAACTTGGCTAAAAAGGGTTTAGGGGAGAAAGCGTGTATTACGGGACATGATTTAGAGGAGAGGTTAGAAGAAGGTGGGTATACCTCTTCAGAGAGGTTCAAAATGTGCCCGGTATGGTTCGTGCATTCAATCCTAATGGCTTCTGACTCAACAAAAGCCGTTAATATGGATTGGGTGAAGTTTGCAAGCAACATGGACTTCTTTAATGCTTATCCGTGGGGACGAGTATCATTTACGCTAACCATGGATTCCCTGCAAGGAAAAGACATGGCGTTAAAGCAGTCCCAATCTGTCGAGAAGAATAAACTGAGCACGTACAATTTGTTTGGCTTCCCATGGGGAATGCAAGTAAATATTAGGGGCTTTTTGTTATATTTTTTTGTATTATATGTGTTGTAATTATGATATGGACTGTTTTTTTATAATATAGGCTTGAATATATGAGGTCGTCCCTGTCCTGGCTAAGGTAGGGGAGAGAGGGGGGGGGGGGGGGGGGGGGGGGGGGGAAGACTTCGGATGAGCGACTGCAATTTCCTAGGATGTTGTGGTGGCACATCGAGAAGTGTACTCATTGGGATTATGACAAAATAGACATTGAAATTCAAGCGGCTAGGGTAAGATTAAATGATTAAGCTTTTGAATATGCACTTGCTTTTAAATATGACTTAAATTTGATTGATTTTGTTTCTTATTGTAAGGAGTCGTCCGTATCTTCCTCACCACTACTAGGGGTGAAGCGGGAGAGGAGTATGTTACATCCTTCGAAGTACTGGAGGATGAAGCAGATGAAGGGATAAACCGCCTAATTCGAGATCTAAAAGGGGTTACGCATGTGAGTTCAATTGTAGGGCCACTGCTTGAGAATGTTGTTGACGCCGAAGATGATGAAGCTCCAATCGGCGGGAGGGAGGAGGAAGAGGTTCGTACGCCTCCACCCAATTGACAAACTGGTACAACAAGTACCACTTTGTTGAGGCGTCGGGGTCAAGAGAATGAGGTGGTTGACCTTATAAATGGTCTGTTTGAGAGTTTTACGACAGCCGTTTATGAAAAGTTTGAGAAGATGGAAAATCGGATGAAAAGGGTGGAGGAGAAAGTTAATAAGGTGGCAGAGAAAGTTGGTAGAGTGGAGGAGGAAGTTGGTGAAGTATTAAGCGGTTGAAGTGCAACTGAGCTAAAAAGAGAGAGCCGAAAGAGTAAGTTTGTCAAATCTCCTTACACCGTAGTAACATATGGAAAGAAGAGGAAAATTAAGAAAAAAATTAAAAAAGTCCACGAAAGTGGAGAAGCAAAAATGGAGGAGATTAAGGAGGTTGCTGGAGGAAGTGGGGAAGTGATAATGGAGGAGGCTGAGGTGGGACGTAAAGGAAGTGGGGATGTGCAAATGGAGAAAGTGGGAGGAAGTGGGCAAGCAAAAACGGAGGAGTTAAAGGTCGATTTGTATAGGCCAATAGTGGAGGAAAAGAAAAAACTCTTCTATGCCTATTACAATGAATCTGGAAGTGATGCCCATGTGAAGTGCAAGACTGGGGATTATCCCCGGGATTGGTTTGAAAAGATGTTGACGATGGGCAGGTGGCTTGACGACTCGGTGAGTTATTTTTTCTTATTTTTGCTTATGTTTTCCATGAGGTATTGTATACTTATCATGTTGTTTTTATTTGATGCAGCACATTGATGATGTATTGGCACTCATGAGGCTACGACAGAGCAATACTGGTGATATATTGTATCCCGATTGTGCCATCACCGATGTGGCCTTTGGCCAAATGCTAGTAATGATATATGACACTTTAATGAAAAAGGCCATTGGTATAGGTGTAGCAAGAGGAGCCAAGCGAAAAAATTAGGCACAGATGACTTCGACGGCGTCCTTGATGATTTTCAGTTTGATGACAGGATCATGCAGTATGTACGGGGGAAAGGCCCAAACATGGCCACAGTTGGGCAAAGGTTAAAAGAGTGTACTGCATCTTCAACATCAAGGATATGCACTGGATAACAGCCGTCGCGCTTCTAGAGGAGGGCTTGCTAAAGATCCTTGGCTGCAACCCAAGTATTTGTTGAGAGAGGCAGTTAGAGACGGAGTTGGAGGCACTGTGCGTATTGTTCTCCTGGCTGTTGCGCGATAGTGGGATGTTTCAACACTTCGGTGACGAAGTATTGACAGGAAAGTGGCCACTCAAGCGCCTTTCCGTCCAGACAAATGACTCAAGGTAAAATTTGTATAAAACTTACATAATACAATTGTTCATTAAGCTGATTCTAATGCTAATGTCTTCCTCCTATTGTAGTGCTGATTGTGGGGCATATGCACTCAAATTTATTGAGTTCGACATGACCAACACCCCGATGGACGGCTTGGATGACGAAACAATGAGCAATTATCGGGAGCGCTGGGCTGTTGAGTGCTTCCATGGGCAAATAGATCCCTTTTGACTGACCAGAACCCAATCCAAGTCATTGTTGATGCTGTCATCAAAAGGTATGGAAGTTGGACTTAGAATTTTGTAGTTTATGTGATGCTGTCTTATTGGGTTGTCTTGAATAATTGGATTGTGTTGAATTGGATCAGCTTGTGTTATTAGGCGTCAGGCTGTTGATACTTGGATTGTGGTGCTGATGCTGAAGGTGTGCCCTGGCTTTTTTTCGGTGTATATAGGAGATTTATTTATTTGTTGTACATAATGTTGTCATTGAATGTAATTGACAAATTTCAGATTAATACAAAAGCTATTCAGTATTTCTCTCCCTCTTTTGAGTTTGAGTTTATTTAGTATTTTTGTTACATGGTGTTGATGATATTAGGTTGTCAAATTCAGGAGAAAATATAGAATTAATATGTGTTGATGATGTTAGGTTGTCAAAATTCAGGAGAACAATTGGAAAAAATAGGTATTGCCCATGATCGCTAAAGCGATATATAAGCGACTAGATATATCACTTAAGCAACAAAGGGTTTTCAACAGAGAATCGCTTAAGCAAGAGAATAAATCGCTTAAGCAATCGTACAATTGGACAGATCTTGATTTTGTCTCAGACTTGATCGTTTAAGCGATTATAGATCTCTTAAACGACCAAGGGTAAAAGCGAAGAATCGCTTAAGCGAGACCATAAATCGTTTAAGCAATCGTGCACCTGGGCAGATCTTGATTCTGTCTCGGACATGATCACTTAAGCGACCAACGGTAAAAGCGAAGAATTGTTTAAGCGATACCATAAATCGCTTAAGCGATCGTGCACCTGAGCAGATCTTGATTCTGCCTCGGACATGATTGCTTAAGCGATCGACGATCGCTTAAGTGACCAACGATAAAAGAGAAGAATCGTTTAAGCAATACCATGTATCGCTTAAGTGATCGTGCACCTAGGTAGATCTTGATTCTTCCTTGGACTTGATCTCTTAAGCGATCTACGATCGCTTAAGCAACCAAGGGTAAAACCGATGAATCGCTTAAGCGATACCATAAATCACTTAAGCGATCGTGCAACTGGGCAGATATTGATTCTGCTTCGGACTTAATCGCTTAAGCGATCCATAATCGCTTAAGCGATCCATAATCACGTAAGCGACCAAGGGTAAAAGAGAAGAATCGCTTAAACGATCGTGCATCTGGGCAGATTTAATTCTCCCTCGGTCTAAATCGCTTAAGCGACCAAGGGTAAAAGTGAAGCATCACTTAAGTGATCTTAAGATTTGCTTGTACGTGATCGCTTAAGCGACGGTACTAGATCGCTTAAGCGACTAAGGCTAAATACAGAGGATCGCTTAAGTGAGAAATGAAATCTCTTAAGCGATCCAATGTATTTGGATTATTTTTATTGCCTTTCACAAGATCGCTTAAGCGATGAAAGCTAAGTGATGAAAGCTTATCAACACTTCCTTTTATGTTTTTTTTTTTTTTTTTTTTTGTAATAGGTTTTTCCCATATTGATTTGATTATTTATATCACTTGATCAATTTTTTTAATTAAATTATATTAAATTAAATTAGTTCTTTTACGTCTATATTAAACATATATGGTGTACAATTAGTTCAGTGGACTAGGGTCTGTCTTGTGTCAATTGATTTATTTATTTATATCACTTAATCAATTTTTTTATAAATTAAATTAAATTAGTTCTTTTACGTCTATATTAAACATACATGGTGTAGAATGTTTACGTCTATATTAAACATATATGGTGTACGATTAGTTCAGTGGACTAGGATCTGTCTTGTGTCAATTGATTTGATTATTTGTATCACTTAATCGATTCTCTTTAAATTAAATTATATTAATTTAAATTAGTTCTTTTACGTCTATATTAAACATATATGATGTATGATTTCTTCAGTGGACCATGACCACGATTATATTTTAATTAAATTAGATCTTGTACGTCCGTATTAAACATGGTCCATAAACTTGGAAAACAAATATTAAAGTAAATTACCTTTATTGCTTAAGGGATATAAGGTATCGCTTAATCGATCTCATCTATTTAGCATTGGTCGCTTAAGCGATATATTCTTTCGCTTAAGAGATCCTGTCTATTTAGCCTTAGTCGCTTAAGCGATAATAAATCGCTTACGCGATCTTGTCAAAGGCAGAATAAAGTTCATCCGAGTACAGTGGATCGCTTAAGCGATCCCAGGTCTCTCTTAAGCGATCCAGTATGTTTAGAGTTAGTCACTTAAGCGATCATGTAAAGTCGCTTAAGTGATCACTTACAAGTGAGGATCAGGATCACTTAAGTGATGTTTTACTTTTACCTTTGGTCGCTTAAGCGATCTTGTACAAGGTAGAATCAATACGTGCCCAGATGCACGATCACTTAAGCGATTTACATTCTCTCTTAAGCAATGGTCGCTTAAGCGATACATAATCGCTTAAGCGATCAAGTTCGAGGCAGAATTAAGACCTGTCCATATGCACGATCGCTTAAGAAATTTACGCTATCGCTTAAGCGATTCTTCACTTTTACCCTTGGTCGCTTATGCGATTATGGATCGCTTAAACGATCAAGTCCAAGGTAGAATCAAGATCTGCCAGTTGCATGATCGCTTAAGCGATTTACTGTCTCGCTTAAGCGATTCTTCGATTTTACCCTTGGTCACTTAAGAGATTCTAGATAGCTTAAGCGATTAAGTCCAAGACAAAATCAGTATCTGCCCAGATGCACGATCGCTTAAGCGATTTATGTTATTGCTTAAGCGATTCTTCACTTTTACCCTTGGTCACTTAAGCGATAAGAAATTGCTTAAGCGATCAAGTCCATGACAGTATAAACTTTTGTCTAGATGCACGATTGCTTAAGCGATTTATTTTCTCACTTAAGTGATCCTTTATGAAAAACCCTTTGTCGCTTAAGCGATATATCTAGTCGCTTAAGCGATCATGGGCAATATGTTTTTTTTTCTAGCTTTTCTCCTGAATTTTGACAAACTAAAATCATCAGCACATATTAATTACATACTTTCTCCTGAATTTGACAACCTAATTGCATCAACACATCAAGGCCATGTAACAAGAATACTAAATATGAAGGATGATTTATTTAAGGTAACAATAAAATTGAAAACATAAAAAATTGAAAACAACAACTCCTCAACGGTTGGCCTTAGCAACTCTCTCGATTTCATCCTTCATCGAACCTAATTTTCTGGATCTACATGTGATTGATTCTCTTGTGGCTAGGTTGCTTGCAAATTGAGCACTTATTCATCCTTCGGGGAACTTCAGAGGCTGATGGAATACGCTTAACTCTTTTTCTCCCCTTTTCTGTCTTCATGAATGGCGGATGGATGATAATGTCAACCAACTCTGGTGGCACTACCAACTGCTCTTCTGGAGGAACTGGATATATCGTTTCTGAATAAGCCAGCATGTAGTGATTTGCCATATAGAGAGGGGGGCAAAATTCCATGTAAATTCTTGAACCAAAATCCGGCTTCCGTTGGTGTTTCAGTGCTGCTAGTGCATGAGGACAAGGAAAACGTTGAATGTCAAGCACTTTACAACTGCAAGTTTTACTAACAAGGTTAACTAGGGCATCCGGACCATAACTGCACAAGGTGAACTCTTAAGCATTCAGAGGATAGGCAAACAGTGCATTTGACAGTTGCATACGTTCTCGCAATAATTTTTCAGCTGACAGAACAAGGGTTGTAGTAAAATTATCTAACTCCGTACGACACTCATGGAACCACCGTGACAATGTCCTCTGGATTACATCAAAAAGGGCAACTATTGGAAACTCTCTTTCTATTAACGACTTCGAATTTATGGACTCGGCTATGTTCATGGTCATGACATCAAACCTTCTTCTAGGAAAGTAGCTCTACTCCATCGCTCAAAACCAATATCATGCTCAAGTAGAGCTGGTCAAGGACCAGTCCCAAGCAGGCTCGGGCCTAGGCTCGTTTGGGACTGGGACCGGTCCCAAGCCCATGAGCAATTTTAGGACCCAAACCGATCCTATGGGCCTGGAAAATTTATCTTTTTTTTATATTTTAGGGGCGAAACGAAATTTTGTAGAGGGTTTTTAGTATTTTTTTAGGGGTAGATTAGTAAGTTTCTAAAAGTTTAATTAATTTTAAAAAATAATAAAATAATAAATAGTTAATTTTAACATAAATGTAATATTCACATTTCACACATTCACGTTCACAAATAAACAATTAAATAAATTTTTTTTATTAAATTATTCATCTTCATCGTCAACAATATTTATATCATTCAAATCTGTATTCCTAAAGAGTTCGAGTAGTTCGGGATCTTCAGGGTGCTGTTGTAGTCTTCTTTCTGCATGAGTCCAATCCCATAAACATGTAATCACTTCAATCATCTCATCGGTTAAAGAACATCTTATGTTTTCAACAATCCGGCCACTCGTTGAAAAAGTTGACTCGGATGCAATTGTAGAAACCAGCACATATAAAATGTCACGTGCCATTTGGGCTACAATGGGGAATCGACTTTCATGTTGGTTCCATCATTGAAGAATATCCATGTCACGTTTCTCCTTCATCGTCATAAAGGACAGGTCCACTTGTAGGTAGCGATTCAGCTCATTTGGTCCATGTATGTACGAGCTGGAGCTGCTACTTCTGCCATGTTCATTGTACGTCCACTTGCTCGATCCTTGACGGAGGTTTGTATCAGGGTCCTGGTCGTCTCTCCTAAACGTTCCACTTCCACTTTCATTGTACCTGTTCTCATATAAAGAAAAAAGGCTATCCAATTTTTGTTTAAAGTCAATCAAATAAGACGTATAATCATGTCCTAAATACTAGCCTAACTCAGTGATTATACAGTTAACTACGTGTAATTTAAACCTAGGATCTACAACAAGGCCTAATCCATATAAGAATGGAATATCTAACCAATATTTCTCATATTTTTCTTCCATCTTTAAAACAATTTCCCTTAAAACGTTATTATATCTATATTTAGCAAAAGTTTTAGCAATTTGAAGTAAAATATCTAACACTAAATTAGTAGCAGCTGATAAATACCACTTAATGTATTAGTAGAATCATAAAAAATTTTAAGAAATGAATAAAAAAGTTCACAAACCGCCCAATCATCATAGCTGACAACTTCCTCTGGATAGTGCTTTCGGTTGGCGAAATTTGTAATTTGTTT